CTCCTCCTCCTCTCCTCCATCTCCTCCTCCTCCTCCTCCTCTCCTCCATCTCCTCCTCCTCTCCTCCATCTCCTCCTCCTCCTCCTCCTCCTTCTCCTCCTCCTCCTCCTCGTCCTCCTCCATCTCCTTCTCTTCCTCCTCCTCCTCCTCCTCCTCCTCCTCCTCCTCCTCTCCTCTGACACCCTCAGAGGGTCACACAAAGAATTCATTTCTTTGACCTTGAAGTGGGAGAGAGGAGAAATGGAGAAGAGAGTCGTGGTGGGCAGGGGATGACCCAGTGGCTATGCAAGGGGATCATGGGACCCCGTGGGATGGACCCGGGTGTCACTGTTTGCAGCAACCAGGGACAGGGACCAGTGTCTTGAAACGCCTTCCCCTGGGGGAAACACCGAGGGTCGGGTCAGGCGTCTGCACAATGACCTTGACATGAAGCGGGTCCTGAGAAAAGTGACTTCGTTGCCTTTGATCTTTGCAAGTGTAGACGAGAACCCCGGGACGGCCCCGGCGAACCTGGACTGCTGGGTTCACGACGTGGACTTCATGAGCTGCGAGTGGGCAGTGGGCAGGACGGCCCCCGGCGACGTCCAGTACCGCCTCTACTGGAAGGACGCCCGGTGGGTGCGGAGCCCCGGGGAGGAGGCTGGAGGCCGGGCCTCGGAGACCGCACTCTCGTTTGCTGACTGCGTGTTCTTGTTGCAGCGAGTACCGAGAGTGTGGGCACTACCAGACCGACAGCCGGGGCAGGCACGTGGGGTGTCGCTTCAGTGGCATCTCCAAGTACCCCCGGAGCTTTGTGGTCATGGTGAACGGGACCAGCGCGCTGTCCGCCATCTCCTGCAGTGACTGCTTTGCAGATTTATATGAGATTGGTCAGTAAGGACGGGGACGGTGCCTCCCCTCACACCCTCGGCTCCGCCTCGCCGTGTTCACGTGGGGTGCAGGGGCTCGTCCCTCGGGTGGGGGACAGTCAGCAGACCCCCACGGCTCCCAGCTCTGGGCTGCCCCCCAGGTCCAGGCGGGGCTGACCGGGGTCAGCTGAGGCTGCTTCCTGCTCCCAGAGGGGCCTTCTCCTGGGTCCTCCATGGTGGACGGGCAGGGGGCTCTGGGTCCTGTTCCCTTAGAGCAATTCATTGTCCCACCCAGAGAGCAGCTGACAGCAGGTCCCCCAGGGACCTGGGGAGGACCGGGGCTTGGCGGGATGTAGCCACGAGGGCTGGCGCCACAACTGACGTGTGGTGCAGAGGGGACCCAGGGACAGAGGGACGGAGGGAGGGCTCTCAGGGAGTTTCCTGAACGGGGAGGAGGTGTTCTGTGGGCTGCGTGCGGTGGAGGGAAGCCACAAGAGGGGACTCTGACTGGACCCGGGGGACCTGTGGGAGCATCTCGCCATGGGTGGAGAAATTGGGGACAAGAGGAGGAGGAAGGGGGAAGAGCAGAGGGAGGGGACATCAGGGACCCAGAGCGTGGACCCTCCCGGGCAGACAGCGGGAGCCCCAGGGCTGTGCCCAGTGCAGCTCAGACGCCGTCAGAGGGACACGGGGACCCTGGGAGTCTCAGAGGGGACAGAGCATCCCCAGGGAGGCAGCCGTGTGGGCAGAGCCAAGGACCAGCCCAGGGAAGAGCCTCCCGAAGGACGGACTGCAGAGGGACTGGACATCCAGGCCACCCTGGGCACAGAGCAGGGACACAGAGGGCAATGGCTGGAGCAGCTGAGCACACAGGGCCCTTCCCCTCCAGCTGCAGAGGTGGACAACGGGGCTGTGGGAGGAGAAGAGAAGGAACATCTCCTCCTCCTCCTCCATCTCCTCCTCCTCCATCTCCTCCTCCTCCTCCATCTCCTCCTCCTCCT